TGTAGATAGGTCTTAGTCATCAGGTCTACTCCACTTCCTTGTTGCCTGCTTAGACTCTTGGCACTCTTAGGTGAGCAGACTTAGTCAGCCTGTGTTGCCCTAACACATGTGGGTCCAGATCCACTGATTTGGCCAAGTCCACAGCTTCTGGACTTTCCTGTTCAAACACCTGAACAAAGTTCTGAAGGCCATTAGCATGAGCAGGCACAAGGGAGGAGAGGTTGAGGTGACCTTCACACATGAGTTTAAGTGTGAGATTAGTCTGACATGCATGGTGACCTCTATGGCTCTGAGCTGTTTCTAACTAGTACTAACATGTTGCCAGTGTTTCGTGCTTGCCAACCAGAACAATGACTGACTTGCCTGTTTCTTTGCCAGGCACCTCCAGAAACACGCGCATGACATTGCTCTTACCAGCACTCTCTCTGGCCTGGCAGCAGAAGCACAGGATCAGGTTGCAGCTCAATGCAAAGATTGACAATCTAAACAATGCGTACCAGCTGGATCAGGCAAGCAGTGTTTCCTTGAGCAAGATCTCCAAAGGGCATTGATGGACTGGTATGGACAACATCACCCAGACCTCCAGCTTTGGTATGGCGCTGACAAATCTGCTCCATGGGGAAGCACCTTCCTTGCTAATAGGGCAACCTTTTACCCTGAGCTCAGACAGCAAGGGAAATGAATCACCATAGCACCTGAGGAGAAGCACAGCAAGTCAGACTCACTTGTACTTCATTGCATGTCAACAGGATTGCAATGGGTGGGCAAGCTCAGGGCAGTCTTTTCTCACCAACAAGTGAGCATTGAATTCCCTCACACTTTTGCAGAAATTGCCTGGTTGGTCCCCCTGCAGGATACACCCATGCATGTGGACTTGTATCAAGATTTGTGAGTGGGACCTACATCTGCCCATCACCAACACATGATCTCACATGCTTAGCCCCAAGCTGGAGTTTAACTTTTGGGAACACTGTGGCTATCTAGTTGCTGGGGACTGGGAGCCAGACCCACTGATCCTTGCTGAAGACATTGCTGGCACTGCTGAGCACTGTGAGATGGAGGTCAGAGGGAAAAAGATTTGGATTATGACAGGCATGAGCAAGGTACAAATCCAAATGTATTGTAAAGCATCTCTAATCTAGTCTGGCTATAGAGCAGGCGATCATTATAGATACTCATAGGTAAGCGCCTGCTGCAAGATGGCATTGTGTTAGGGCAACACAGGCTGACTAAGTCTGCTCACCTAAGAG